CTTCACAGACACAGTAGCCTCAAAAGGCACCGAGTTGAATCAGAAGATGCAGATTCAGAGAATTCCTACTCAGAGAAGAAATTAAAAACATGATAAATACAAAGGGAAAACAAAAATCTACGAAAGTAGCCTTACCAAAAAAAAAAAAAATCATGTTTAATGAGCACAGAGCAAAGGAAAAACAGGTATTAAAGGCACATAAAATGAGAAATAAAAATGAAGAGGACATGAATAAATGGAAAGATATCCCATGTTCTTGAGTTGGAAGGATTAACATCATCCAATTGTCCATATTGTCCAGAGCAATCTATGCATTCAACACCATCCCTATTGAAATGCCAGGGGCATTCTTCACTGAAACAGAAAAAATGTTCTTAAAATTTGTGTGGAACCACAAAAGACCCTGTATAGTGAAGGCAATCTTGAACAAAAAGGACAAAATTGGAGACATCACACTTCCTGACTTCAAAATGCAGTATAAAGCCACAGTAACCAGAACAGCATGGTACTGGCATAGAAACATACAAGTAGACCAATGGAACAGAATAGAGAGCCCACAAATAATCCCACGCACTTAGCCAACTGATTTTCAACAAAGGTACCAAGAATATACAGTGGGGAAAAGACAGCCTCTTCAATAAATAGTGCTGAGAAAACTGGATATCTGCATGCAGAAGGTTGAAACTAGACCCCTATCACTCACCATACACAAAAATCAACTCAAAATGGACTAAATAACCTAAATTTAAGACCTGAAGCTATGAAACCACTAGAGGAAAACATATGGGAAACACTACACAAAACCAACGGGCAGCACTCTTTTGAGTGAGACCACAAAGGCACAGGCAACTAAAGCAAAAATACACAAATGGTACGACATCAAACTGGAAAGCTTCTGCCCAGCAAAAGATGCTATCGACAAAGTGAAGAAACATCTACAGAATGGGAGAAAGTGTTTGCGACTACACTGCATAGTTTTGAGTACAAAACTATCATATCTGCCTTTGTCTATCAGACAAGGAGCTAATATCCAGAGTATATAAGGAACTCAACTCAACAGCAAAAGAAAAAACTAATAAAAATAAAAACAATTAAAACATGGGCAAAAGAACTGAACAGACATTTCTCAAAAGAAGACATACAAATGACCAACAAGTGAATGAAAAAATTCTCATAATCTAAAATCGCTAATCATCGGGGAAATGCAAATTAAATGCACAAGAAGATATCTCACCCCAGTTAGAATGGCTATTATCAACAAGACAGAAAATGACAAATGCTGGTGAGGGTGTGAAGAAAAGGGAACCCTCCTTCATTGTTGGTAGGAATGTAAATTGGTACAGCTATTGAGGAAAACAGTATGGAGATTCCTCAGAGAACTAAAAATAGATCTACCTTATGACCCAGCTATCTTACTACTAGGTATATGCCCAAAGGAAATGAAATCAATAAGTCAAAAAGACACCTGTACTCCCATGTTCATCACAACACTATTCACAATAGCTAAGAGAGAGAATCAACCTAAATGCCCATCAGTAGATGAATGGATTAAAAAACTGTGGTGTATATATACACAACTGAATACTATTCAGCTATAAAAAGAAATGATATAATATCATTTGCAGCAACATGGATGGAACTGGAAACCATCATGTTAAGTGAAGTAAGTCAGGCACAGAAAGACAAATATCAAATGATCTCACTCATATGTGGAATCAAAAAAAAAAAGGTTATCAGAAGTAGAGAGTAGAATAATGGTTACCAGAGGCTGGGAATCGAGGGAGGTAGGGGTGGAGAGAAGTTGTGGACTAACGGGTACATAACTATGCTGTCTTCCCTAAGTGAATCATTGTGCAGTATATGCATGTATTGAAACAACACACTGCACCCCACAAATATGTACAAGTAAATGCTAAAATAAATTTTTTTAAAAAATTCAAATAAAGCAATGCCAAAAGGTGTAAATCTGGGCACATTTTGTCAACTGTTGTTGCATCTTCCTACAAAGAATTGGTCATTGACTACTTTGAAGAATCAGACACATACCAGTTATCAAGTGTAAGGAAAAAAACACAGTGAGACATAAAGATACAATAAAGAATATGAATGGATTCAAAAGATTGGGGTATAGTTTTCATCCTTTCAATACTGGGTATGTGACCCTGTACAAAGCTCTCAACTTTTGGGGGTCTTGGTTTCATATGTGTGGAGTAACAGTCTGCTTAGATGATTCTTAAATTGGTCCTTTACAACATCCCATTCGCAGAGGCAGGAATGCTATAGCTACACGGAGCTATGCTAAGAGTGGGAGAGTATGGACGGCCCTGAACTGGACCCAGAGGGACTAGAGACAGCATTATCAAATGGGTGAGGACAAAGTATACATCTAGAGAGAAGCCACAGATCAGAGGCGAAAGAGAAGCATTAATTACCAAGTCTGAAGTCTTACTGTGAGCTACATAAAGAAAATATATATAGTAATTAGGAACTGAGAAGATCAGGGAGAACTTGGGAAGGAGACTGCACAGATCAAGTATCAGTTCAAGGCAGACATAAGCCATGAAGGAGGGCAAAGTGGTAAGAGCCTATTAGAAACATGGCAGCTGGTTCAGGAGGACGGGGAAGGATCGGTCCCCGACTGGGTCTCTTAGAGAAATAGTTCTAGAAACCCTATAGCCCTCAGTGCATGGTAAGGTTTAATAAAAATAATGTCAGGATAATGCATTATTTTTAAGCTGTCTGGCCATCATCTTCACCCGCATCACCATTCATCAGCACCACAGATACTCAGTCATTGCTCTTATACCACATCCGAGCCATTGAGCTATGCTTTCTCTCACCTTCTCTCTTGTGCACTTTCTGTCACTCATGTGATCCTCACACCCCACATGTTAATTAGTTTTTAAGTTTTATTTTTCAGGTTTTCATTACAGGGGTTAGTTTTATTAATTGGATTTCTGTTGGTAGCCTGTGGATTTTATTAATTTAGGAATGAAGTTTTTCACTGTGTAAAAAACACCTGGTAAAGTTAGAGTTAGTGAGCTTTTTTTTTTTTTTTTCTTATTTAATTTTATAGACTTGCCTTTAGGCAAAAATTGGCCAGATTGTTTTGCTGCAAAGGTAAATTTGGCTTATGACTGAAAAATTAGAACAGTTACTCTAACAGCTTGCTAGTAGCTACTGGAAATGTAAATACAATTACCAAAGAGTTCTTTCTTTTCTCTTACTGTACCTGGTGGCCTGTTTCAAACAAGTTCTTTTAAAGGTCACACCAAGGAAAATTATGTTTGCTTTCTCCCCGGCATTTATGGACATAAGAATAAATGAAGCTGTCACATTTATGCAAACACACAAAATTTGAGATCACTGAAAATGTATTATGTTAGTACAAGGTATGTCTGAGCTTGAATTTAAGAAACCCAATTGTAAAAAAAAAAAAGTTAGCATAAATACTTGGAGTGTTGGAAGTTCTCTTTGGCCTTACATTTAATTATTCCTGATTTGTTATCTAATGCTGTATAACCAACCATGCCAAAATTGTTGGCTTAAAATAATTACAACATTTATTTTGCTTCAAAATCCACAATTTGTATAGGGCTCAATAGAAATAGTTCAGTTTTGTTTCACTTGATGTCAGTTGAACTGGCTCTTGGGGTGGAGGATGAAAGTATCTCATGCTTCACTCACTCACACATCAGGTGGTTGATTCTGGCTATTGGCTGAACATCTCAGTTCCTCTCCACATGGGTCTCCCCGTGCGGTCTCTTTGTGTGGGCTAGTATGGCCCACCTCATAGCTCATTGGCTTGTTTGAAGGTTGAGCATGCAAAGAGAGGGAAAGCCAGAGCAATACTCTCTTTTGTGCCTTGGTGTCAGAAATCATGCAACATCATTTCTGCAATATACTATTGATTAAGGCAGTTACAAAGGTCCACCTAGGTATAAGGGAAGGGAACACAGACCTCACTTCTCAGTGGAAGAGTGTTAGTGTCACATTACAGAGAGACTGTGGAATTGGATATACACATATTTATTTATAATATTTAAAATATTATAGATATATATTTACATGATAAATATATTTATATTTTTATTTACATACTGTTGCAGCCATAATTGGAAAATATAATTTGCCACAGGACCCGTATGGAAAGCTCCTCTGTGGACAAATTTAGGAGGGCACTACCTCACAACTACTACATATCAAACATGGTGACAATTACCCCCCTAGCTTC